GTAACTGGGAAACCACAATTATTTTAGCAATAATTTTAGGGGAAATTCAACATTCTTAAGATATGATAGGAAAACAATATTCTATAAGTAAACCTGGATGTGGAGTATCATCCTGAGCTGTTGTACTGTAGTAAACATTCTCGTTTACGTCATTAGCTGTGAACTGACTAGTGCTGTAACCGAGCTGCTCTGGTTGCTGTTTTTGGTGCTAAAAATATGTATGGTATTTTCTAGAATCGCGCAATTACGAATTTTTGAATGAGTTTCAAGAGATTCTCGGAATTTCGTGAAAATATGCTGCAAAATTTAAGAATCAGTTACTCGCCTGCTGCGCCTTGGTTGATAATGATGTGTCAGGGCTTTTCAGGCGTTCATATGTTTCCGGATGCACGGGACCAACATACCTGAATATATCATCTTTTTTAAGCTCAGAGTAGTATTTTAAGTTCTATCATTTTTTGCCAAAATGCTTCCAAGTATTATTGTTTTTTGTTTTCAATTAAAAGTAGCCACCTTGGAAGGAGTTTTTTTTGGCGCAGTTTTTTTCTGGTTGAATAAAGTTTTATTGGTTTACAGAACCCAGTGTGTGTGTTTTCACAAGTTTTTACATGTCCCAGTAAATCAACTCCCGAACTACGAAAGCTGAAATTTTTAAAGCACAGTTTCTGGCTCCTGTATTAAAATCAGCCTTTACGTATTTGCATGTTCAAGCCTAGGAGAATACGCAGAAGCAATCCCTGTATTCAAAACTATGCTTGCATCTTTTAATAAGCTGTGCCGGATGGGTAAAAATCCTCAAAACGACTACCCTTTTTTCACAGTATCGTATTCGCACACTTGATTATCCAAACGATTTGTTATAAAAATCGCAGCATCCAAATGAAGAGTGACACTATTTAAATAAATAAACATTTATGCTTCTTGCATAACCAGAAAAAGGCAGGCACTCACGTTCCTTTCGGCCTCAGTGAAGCTGCTAGCGGATGAGAGAATCGCTCCAAAACTTCAAATGCTAACCGCGCTTTAGCTGAAGTTGGCTGAATTTGCCCAACACGACTGTTCTCGTCCAAATTTGTCGGCGATTGTGCTGTTTCGGGGAGTGGCGAAGAACGCTGCAAATAAATTGTTTCCAGAAACAAAAGTCTTTGTGAACAACCTAAATTACTAGCTGTTTTGTACTCCAAAATTATTGAAACGGTGGCCTTGGAGAAAAATTCTTTGAAGGGCAAACCAAATAAGGCTTTCAATGTTTGCGCTTTTGCATTTATGCACAACAATTAAACATCGAGTGTTAACCAGTAAAGTTCGCGAAAAGCAAATGACCGCTTGGGCGGTCACTTCGCATCGTGCAGGGAACAATCGTAAATTTTGCAGTTTTTTTCTCATTTTTGTGCAGTAACGTTTGCACAAATCCTTCCGAACTATCACCAAAACAAATTAAAAAGGATTGCTAAATACAAGCTTGTTCCGGACTGTCTCATGAGATGCTTTATAAAAACAGTTTAACATTTATAAATAAAACGTGGGCCGCGGAAAGGAACTTACAATAAGCATGGTCGTTGGAGGACGTGAGAAATCGCCACCATCTCGCTGAAAGTTGCCATAGCATTAAATTATGACTCTTGTAGTACAGATGAGTGA